CCCCCCCCCCCCCCAAAAAAAAACAAAAACCAAAAACCAACAATATAGTTTTGGCATTGCATCATGCAATAAAACTTTTTGCTCAGTTTTCCTCTGCTTATATAAATAACTAGTACTTCTCTTAGTTTTCTGAGACTTGGTGGGAGGGCAGAAGCAAGCATGCATCTTCACAAGGGTATTCCAAGGTGCTCTCTGCATTTGGGGAAAAAATATGAAGCAACTCTAAGGTTTGTAGCTGATTTCCAAAGTTTTGCACTTGAATGTTGAGCTATTAAAGTTATGGTGATAAAGCCTAGTGACTTGTGTACCTGAAAACTTAGGGGCCCTCATTCCATCTATCCAGTCCCCTGGCTAGAAGAGATCAAGCTCATAAGACCTACTCAATGTCTCTGACATCTTTTCAATAATACCTTTATTCAAAGGTTCATTAAGTTGTCTACATCTGTGCTAAGAAGTGTTTCCTTCAACTTTCAATTTTAAAAATTCCAAGTAGCAGGGCTCTTGGTTAGTTGTGTAACCTGTTCTATGCCCTGAATCTTCAGGAAGACTTTCTGATTACTTCTCTCAATTTTTTTCCTTTTTTTGAGGAAGAATTGTCACTTTTTAGGAAAGAGGCAAGATGTTGTAGGAGTACATGACACACCTGAGACCCATTCAAAGGCTGAATATTGTATGCCCAGCTTCAAGGACTTGTGCTAACGCATCCTTTTTTGCAGGTTGTGCTATACTTTTGCAGTATCAAGCTTCAGCAGACAGGTTCTTAAATCTAATGCTGAGTAACCATGGTTGCAACTCTTATAGCTGTTATTTCTTGAAAACATCTGGAATGTCGCTTCCCAAAAACCAGAACATGTTGGCTCAATTGTAATTCATCTAGGGAGAAGTATGCTTTGGGAACCTTAAGGGCTTGCACAGCTTGTTTTTAACCTGTCTTGGCACTTGAAAACCTTTTTAACTTGTATTGGAAAGCCTTTTAGCTAGTACCACTCAAATTTTAGAGCTAGTTTTATAATGGTTTTAACTGTTGTATGAACTCATTTAGCTGAATAAGGTAAAGATGAAACTAATTCAAGGCACCAGATTAACTAATCAAATGACAACAGTAAACTGATCTTGATGAATAAAGCGACAGTTTGCACTTTTCACCTTGACTTGGAGAAATGCCAAAAACAGCATAGCAGTCTTTTAATTTCTGGTATTTGATTCTTTAAATATGCTTTGGAATTGGGTTGTATTTGTCTTATCCTCTTTTTCACATTAGGTGCCTAAACCTGTACATCAGCCAGCTGCAGAATTTTGCTCTACGTCTACTCTTCCAAAGGATCCAGTACTAAGGAGGGAAAAACTGCAGGATCTGATGACTCAGATACAAGGAACATACAACTTCATGCAAGTATGTCTTTCATTACTATAGGAACATCGGATTCCCTTTTGTGGTAATGCTAGCATTGTAGCAACAAAACTGCTTGAATTGTGATGGAATGGGAATTTTAAAGTAACTAATGGCCTTTATAATCTGTGCAGATTTGCTTATTTATCTCTTGCCATGTAATCAATTTGAATTTTGTCTGCTAGCTTGTTTAGTTGTGTCTTTTTTTTTTTTAAGGAGTCTATTCTGGATTTTGATAAAGCTTCACCAAGTGCCATTGTTTCATCACAGCCACCTTCAGTTTCTCCAGCAGGTAGTCCTGTAGGTATGTAACTTTCTGAACTGAAACATTTACATTTATCTTGAGGAAGATGGAAGAAACTTTAGAGTCCTTCTAATAATAGTAATAATTCTCAACCCCCTCCCCCCCACCCACCCCAAAAAAAAAATAAAAAAAAATCAAATGTTAGAAATGTACCACCTCCCTCTGGTTGCTTATTTC